ACAATCATAAAACATGGTCTTACCTTTGCTCTTAATGTTTCAATATCAGCTTTCAATACTCTGTTGTCAACAGCAGATTCATTGTGCTTATGGCTTATATCAGTAAGGCGCTTTAACAAGGAAGAATTTTCACCTCTTAATTGATTCACCTAAGATTGGATAAGGTCAGAATATATACACATATTTCTCTGGGAGGACTAACAAAGAGAAAGGAGAGGGGATAAAAGACGTCAACTCTTAAATAGAACACGCACCTGTTTCTCCAGGTCTGTTAAATGAGCCTGCTTTCTTCTTCTCGAGCGTCTAGCTGACTCCCTATTGGAAAGCATCCTGAGAGATAAATGTCATTAAGCATTGAATTAACCAAAGCAGTCTTTATCAATGAATTGAACAAATCAGCATTTTACAATAACAGTAAAAATCCTTTCTATGAAAATACATTAATAAACTAGACCATTATGCTCTCCATCAATACAAAGTTAATATTTCAACTTACAGAATAAATTATGAAGGGTATAACATAATCACTTTAAGAGTAATGCTAAAACCTTTCTTCATAAAACTTCTGGTAATTTGCATCTTAGTTTTATAGAAGAAAGATATTCTAGTCCTCTAGATGCAACCACATCAACAGTTTGTTCAAAACGTGTGGGGGGAAAAGAAAGCGCTAAGCAGCATTACTCTCAATTCAAAGATCTAAATGACACTCGGTGAAATTTTTCTGGCAGGAAATCACTGAGTTTACCAAGCAGGAAATCCAACTGAGAAAACAAAGTTCTAAACCACTCTCATTGCCAATTACAGAATCTTAAAATTACCCCCTGGGTGTATCTACAAGAAGCACTCTCATTGCCAATTTGAACAGATGTTACCTCCTTACTCGTTTCACATCAGCTGGGTCCTTGTTATCAGCAGGGTCCATGTTATCGTTCATATCTGTCTCTCCCTCCATTTCCTCATCATCCGTCAGGTCTCTTGATGATCCACTTGTTGATGGCCTGATTACAGCAGCAGGTTTCTTTTGCATGGCAGGTATGGAAGGAATCCCAACTGGAGCTTTGGCATCTTTGTCTTGCAATTTAGGTGGGTCATTTCCAGAAGGACCAGATCCTACATAGACAGATATATTTGATATAATTCAATAGGGGTTACCCGTATTTGAGAGAGAGAGAGAAATCAGTCACTAAGTGACTATATACTACTATAAATGAAAATTTGTAGTTTTTGTTTATTTTTTAAAAAATAAGCTTAAAGTTGCAGCACAAATATGTTTAACAACCTACCTAGATTATAAACACAACTTATTTTTGTGGGGAAAAAGCCAAAAATTGAAGTTCCTCCACCATGAGTTATTTATTTCAAGGTTGACTTATTTTTCTAATGACATGTCATTTCTCATTTTATCCTTAATTCACTTCTTATTTACTCTTCTACCAAACTCCATATTAAAAATGTGCTCAGGTTGTTTTTAAATATTGGTATTCGTTTTTATATTTTAAATTTTTTAGCCTTTATTATGAAGTAATAAAAATTAAAAAGTTTATAGTAAAATAGATATATGATGAAAAATATTAACAAAATATATTTAAAAATAACTAAAATAATCACAACATAAACAAGTAACCTCATACCCTTTTCTGTGACTTACTCTTGTAAAAAAATAATTTGTACATGTTACCCAAACGAAAGAGATTAGCATATATTCACTTTTCAGCTAAGGTACCCAAACATAATCAGATTATAATAATCACACAGTTTATAAACTAAAACTTAAAATATAATCTATACCAAACACAAGCTAAAGCTTCTCGAGAAATGACTAAACAGATCCATGAAAGAAAACAAAAGCTTTCACATTAAAACCTAAATTGTGGATATAGATTATGGATTTTCACGCTAATGACGCTACTGGTTCAACTTCTAAGTTTTGATAGTAACTAGTCTATTTTACATTCAGCATTCAGCCTATTGTACTGAACATACTGAACCTGCACTGTTATCAAACTTCTTTCATAAATGTGTTCTACATCCATCAACAAATCTTCTATATCTGCATTTATATACACATATATATAGTGAGAATGACATCTTTATGTGAGAGTGAGAAGAACAAGTCTCAGCCCTTATATTAAAATCAAGGGTTGACATAGAAACCCATTTTTGGAAAATCACGTGCTTTCCTTTTTTACCTTTCTCCACTGCACGAGCAACACTGTTTTCCCCTCAACTTCATTCTCATTCGATAACTTCAAGTCCATCCCTCATAAGAATGCATGTTCCACTCTTTCTTCTTCAATATTGGCGCTGTACTTTTTAATTCATCCTGTAACTACAAACTGCACTCCTCTATCTATCTGGTCACTGATATATCATGTAGGGTTTTCAGATATCCCACATTTAAATTTCATGATTCATACTTTATAATTTTTTTGTTATCCTTAATTTGTAAGTAGAAATAGAGGGATTAGGATCTCTCTGCATCCCGCTTTGAAGATAAAAACAGAATAGCAGGGATATTTCAACTGATGAATGGCATTAGGGTAACTGAGGTGTATTGAATTTGCGCGTTTAAGAAATTGATTGAGTGACCACAAATAACATATATAATTCCGTTTATCTTTTTTATGGGATTAGATGGAATTAACTTTGTGCGGGTTCAAGAAATTAAGTTTGTTCATGGCAAGAACACCACCAAGCATAAAAAAAAGAACATTATGAAGTAAAGAGTGAGGCACATGATTTTTTTTAATCTAACCGCAGCAGTTGGTTTTAATCCAAGGGCTGAGACTTGTCGCACTCACATAAGTATGCTTTCTCACTTGATACATCCCCTATATATATGCATAAATTTGAATAAAAACGTCCACATTCATTTACCAATTCAAACCTGTAAAAGTAGGCTGAGGTCCAACTTGAGAAGGATTAGACAATGGCTGTGGTACACTGTCCGGAAAAGTGGCTTCATCTTGAGATTTGACCAAAGAACCCTATTTCAATGAGTAGAAACTAATTAGATACAGGCACAATGCCCAGTGGAAAAAGATAAGGAATATGGGAAAACAGTAACCAAATTGTTAAGCCAAGCTATAAAAAAAATGTAGTAAATGCAATTGGTAAGAATATGATTGAAATGCTAAGAAAAAAAGGGCGGCCTAGTGCACGAGACTCCCACGTAGTGGGCTCTTGTAAACCTTTTGTATTCTCATTAAAATTTATGTATAGCTCTTCAAAGAACACAGTCATTTTTCAACTGAATCTTAGAAAGTTATTATTGGTCAAGTTTGGATGCTTTATTGTTAAAAATAGGTTTGATAACCGCTTTTGAATAAACAGTTTATCCAAACAGCATCATATCTCAAAGATTCAGGTGAATCACAAATCAGAATGCAAAAATTTGAACCAAGGCAAAGACAAAAATTAATCAACGCCAAAATTTGAGGTTCCCTATCACATAAATTTTGGATTTTTAATCAATACCCAGAGACAAAACAAATTTAAATAGTCATATGCACAAAATCAACATGCAAACCAGCTCAAAACCCAAACCAATAAAGTCGTTTACTTTTCTTAAACGCCGCAAAAAAAATCAATTTTGAATCCAGAATTGTCCCTAAAACCAACATTCTATTACGAAAAAACGAGACTTTGAAAATTACCCTAACAACGGCGACAGCAGCGCACGCGAGATCTAGCTTGCTCTTCAAGAAAGCCTGATACTCTTCCGAATCAAAAGACCCAGGAGGAGGAACAGTGGGCCCATTGCCCAAAACGGCACCGTTTTTCGGAAGGGGCGTGGCATCCACGCTCTGGGTGCGATCTAGTTTTGGTTGGTGGCTATTGGTTTCGACAAAAACGACGCCATCGTTTCGATCAGCAACGGATGAAGAAGAAGGTGATAATAATGCGGATGTGGCTTCCTGGAGGAAGCGTTGGAAGGCCCACTCGGAAGCACTGCGGTTCATCTTGGATGATTCGTTGCCGGCGGCGCCGGAGGAGAAGGAAGAGGAAATCGCCGGCGACCAGAAGTGTTCGGCGATTTCTTCGACTGAGAAGACCCTATCCATATTGTGTTGCTGGATTTTCGATTGTGTGTGTGATGATGCGATTTGCGGAGCCAGGTAAAGAAAATAAGAGGTGAAGGGTATTTAGGTAAATATATCACACTACGACATTGAATAATTCAATTTTTTGTATTCATGTGAGTAAATTGCAGAAGTGAATAAGGGCCGAAACAGTTTACACTATTGGGGGTTTTTCTGTTAGATTTAGGTTTTTTATCTCAATTAAACTTAACAAATTGACCTGTTTAATTTATTTATAATATATAATAGTACTTATATTTTACTATTTTATAAGGTGATTTTATATATATGTAAGTGTATTCAATAAAATAATTTAATTGTTATGGTTAGGTTTTTGGTACTATTAGGGATACATTGTCACCTTTTGATAAGGAAATAATTTATTTCCGGAAATTAACTAAATTGTTATTGTTAGATTGAAATATTTAAAAATAGAGTAAATTAGGGATGTTCATCTATTTCAATATGTTATTGTGAATACCCAATTTTTGCTGGGGTCTTTTTCAAAAAACTTTAAAAAATTCTAGGGACTGGGTTGGAATGAAATAAACTCACAAGACTAAACCCTAAGCAACACTTAACCCTAAATTTAGTTGACCTAACACTGGTTGCACGAATGGTTTGGAATCACCCTAACACTGGTTGCACGAATGGTTTGGAATCGCCCTAACACTGGTTGCACGAATGGTTCGGAATTGCCACTACGTTTTTTTTTTTTTTTTCATTAAAAACTTAGGAAATTGATTAGAACAAAATCCAAACAACAAATGTTTGTTTTTAATTTCACAGGCCTATGATATTGGTGATGCCTGTTTTGGATATCTATTCACCTCTATTGCTGAACAAATCCAAATGCTTTAATATGTTTTGGACGTTTCTCTACTAACAACATAATATTTGGGTAAGAATCCATGAACACGAAAGCACCAGTGGTCTAGTGGTAGAATAGTACCCTGCCACGGTACAGACCCGGGTTCGATTCCCGGCTGGTGCAAACTTTTTCTATGTTGGTCTATCTTATTAGGCATGCTTGCTCTACCCAGTCTTTGTTTCACTTTGATTTGTTTAAATCAATGAATGTTGCCATCTAGCAATTTATATGTAGTTATCATGTATAGGCTTGATTTACTGCTTCATCTATCCATGTTAGTTGTAGTTAAGTCCTTAATATACTTGATCAATGTGTTTGATGTCACATTAAACCCAGCATAAATCATAAAGCAACTTCTAGTACATATTTGTAATACTGGGCAAATGGTATATATATACTTATAAAATATGTTTGTTTTACAAAAGGAAAGTTCCATATACACTCCATTATGAAGTTGTTTCTCTTTAGGCTTTGTATATACTTAATTCCATACTCATTGATCACTTTTGGTTTTTCTTATATTCTCTCTTCTTTTATTCATTTTCTTGTGGTTTTCATAGCAGATAAGATGGTTCACAATGAGATTCAAATATTCTTGGCAATGGGCAGTAGATACCAAAATATTAATTGACTTAATAAAATCAATGGGATGATAATCAATAATCTATCTGTCACTACAAGCCAGAAGCACTTTTGGCTCAAGCTGCAATATAGCTTCATCCTTGCTTAATTCAACAAGTTGTTCCTCAGGCAGTGTCACCATCACTGTTCTTGCATGTCTTCCCTCTACTGAAGGCATCACAATTATCAACCCTTCACCGTTCGCAATCTTCCCCACATGACACGAAACATGAACTGGCTTCTCATTATTGCTGAACATAGCTGAATACATCAAAGACTCATTTTGATCTGAATCAGAAACTATCATATGCTCCATGCAAACACAAGTTAACTCACAATCATATATGAAACTTGGTGCTCTAAACTTCCCTTCCTTATCTACTTCCTTTTCTGACTCAATCCCTTCAAAGTGTTTATGCACTAAACTAGTGATGTCTCCTAACCCAACACTGTCTATGTCTTTCACTGAAACCATTGAAAAATTCAAAGCGTTTCCAAAGTAGCCTGTAGGGTGTGGTATTTTGAGGCGCCTCCTAAAGTCGGTGCAGATGGAAAGATAGTGAGTTTGGTCATGGTTTTTAGGTGGCTTGAAGCGAGCGATACGAGACCAAAACAGTGCTGAAAGAAAGTCAAATGGGGTGGAATTGGGGCATTCATTATGGACCTGGCATAGGCACTTTTTGATTACTGAACTTGAAAAATTAAAAGTAGCTGTGACCATGTTCTTCTTTTGTGCTGATGAATAGGGAGAGGGTGAATTTGGGATGGTGTTAGGAACTGGCTGAGCATTAAGTTGTGATGTTATGGTGAAGAATGGAGGGTGTGTTATGGGCAAATGGCTTTGAGTCTCAGTCCATGATTTGAAGAATGATGCTAAGCAAGTTAGATCAGCAACCATGTGACTACAACTTAGTCCTATTGCAACACCTCCTCCATTGAAGATGTTTATCTGCCAAAATCACAAAAAATAATTCTATTAAGATCCATTTGTGAGTTGGGTTTTGGAGCGGAAGGAAAAGAAAAGAAATACTTGAGAATCATCTCAGAAGTGTATTTCATGACTCTCAAGTCTTCCAGTTTTCTTTATTCCCTTCTAAAACCAAACTCGAAAACTGAACCTTAGTGTCCTTACTGTATATAAATAAATTCAACAAGCAATTTTCTTCTATACAACTTGCAGAAGTATGAACTTTTGGTTAATAACAACTAATTGCATGATTATCGGCTAATTGCATGTATTACGATATAATTACTTAACTGATTGCCAGTATTTTCCATATTGTACATATTGATCACCAAATCTTGAATTTAACATATGTAGATTAAAAAAATACAATTTTTTTGGTACATGCAAAAGTAACATGTAGTTAACAAAATATATAACCATAGTCAAAATAAAAGTAAGGCACTAGTTAAGGTTTCATTGATAGAAAAAAACTCTTGAAAACTGATGTATCTATAAAAATAAAAGCAGGAAACTTGTAGTTTTAGAGACAAAGTTTCTACTTTTTAAAATTTCAACTATACTAGCTAACATAACCCATAAAAATAAACATATATTTCAGTACTTGATATATGTCACTTACATTGTTCCTCAGAAGATAGAGAAATCAAATTGATATAACTAATATCAGTGAAGAAATAAATGTTGATCCTACAGTTACTGACTTGTGACTACTGTTGCCTTGACTAAATATAAAGGATTGTGGTTCTTACATTAAAACATAGTTGCATAGTACGCGGTACCAGTTCTGATGCATGATACTCATAATAGTAATAATAGTACGACAAATAAATACCTGAATTCGAAAGGGGGACCATGTTATAGGATCATCTTCTGGCATATCTTCCCAAACAATAAGAAGTGGCTCAAGGGATCCATTGGCAGATGTGAGCCATTCTTGAAGGGTAGCATCAACATTGGCCATTATGACCCGAACACCAGCATCATTGTATCTAACTTCCCAATTACCATCCTGGCCTCGGGCCAACCGACCCGTCATATTCGGATACATGGTAAGCACTTCACACAATGACTCTCTCAATGGGTCCAATTCAAAGGAACCAAGCAAGTAGTGAAGGTCCTTGTAGTAGTAAATGATATGAAGACTGTGCTGACCCATAGCATGGTCCAGAACTGATAAAGGGTGGCTCTTACCCAAAATATTAGGTCTGCTAGACACAACAGTTAGTGTTTTGTACAGGGTTACCCTACTCTTAGACATAGACATGCACATGCTTGGATCACTATTTAGGTGGCATCTCAGTAATGACATATCAGAAGAAAACAAACAGTATATCTAGAACTGATAGTAAAAGATCAAAGAGTACTATGGTACATGCATTGGATCAAATCAATCACAAAATTAAAGATAAACAAATAGAATATCAAAAAGAAAGATGAACAAAAGACAGTATAATGAATCTTGAGGATTAAGAGCAAAATGGAAGAACTATCACTAATCACTCACTTGTGTTAATGCTTGGCAGTTGGCACCTTACAGGTACTCCTTTTGTAGGAGAAATTAATACATAGTTAAGGACCATAGGTATTAATATTAATGATTTAAAATTAAATAAGTTTATTCCATATAGAAATATGATGGTGATCATTGGTGTCGGTTGAATAAAGCAAGCAATAAATGCAGGGGCTGTGGATACAGTTGAGGTGCTATGTTATAAATTCAAGCATCTACAATTGTTGACTTAAGTTCACATGTTTGTTGGGTATTAATTTGGTTAAGCACAACATGGTGCACTTGTGGTGACTGGTGAAGAATAATGGAGAGTGTGTAATAATAGGTAAATGATGTTGAGTCTCCATCCAATAGTTTTAAAAATGATGATAAGCAAGTTAGAGAAGCAACCCTGTGACAACAAATTGTTCCCATTGCAACACACATTTTACCACACAAATCCATTTGGTTGTTCCCATTGCAACAACCAAATGCACACACTAACACTAATCTATGCATAAAGTTGCAGTTCAGTCATCATCTCTGCATCTCTGCTTGAACTGACACCAACAATCTTACTGATAATCGCACCAAGGGACTTAATACTATTGACACTGAAATTTTCAGTGTGAAAAAAGATGGTAGAAGATTTTTTTAATGTTGTAGCCATTTTTTGTATTCTCACAGAAGAGAACAGAGGATGTGAGATAAATATTGTTTCTGATTCAAATGAATCACAAACAAATTCAAAATTTATCTCACATGAATTCATGATATGAAAATCATTTAAACCGTTCTTTTTTAAACATCAACTTAGATATAAGATTTGAATTTAGAGAGAAAAAATTAATCAATTGTATAATTGACATGTGATACTCCTAAAATTGATTATAGGATTGTGATTGTAATCTTATAAATAGTAAAGTTTCTTTTAAAATTGTATCGTCTTTGAAATTTCTATTTTTTAAATGGAAAATTGCAAAAAATCCTGTGTAATGATACATCATCATTTCATCCTTAGCAAAAAAAACCTCACTTGATCTAATTGTGAGTTGAGTTTTAGAAGGGAAGGAAGAGGAAGAAAAAATATTCACAATCATCTCACAGTGTATTTCATGACTTTCAAGCATTGATTCACATTTTTCCGCCTCTGAAAATTCAACTCACAAAGAAAAAATATTCACAATCATCTCACAGTGTATTTCATGACTTTCAAGCATTGATTCACATTTTTCCGCCTCTGAAAATTCAACTCACAAAGAAACTCTTAAACAAGTCATCTATTAGTAACGGTCATCGGTTGAGGACTAATGTGACAAGCTGTATGGACCAAACTAAAAGTTGAATTGATGTTTCAAGGATAACAAGTGAAGGGTTTTCTGTACTTGACAATACAAGCTTGAGAATAAGCCTAACACCCAAATGCAGCTATTCACAAGAACCCTTATGAATTGCAATATAAAGTGCTTATTTTCAAGCAGCAGCAGTAATATTCCTATATCATAATATAACCGATAAAAATGACAGCATCAATGCAGCAGTCTAACTCCTTTCGTTTTCATTCATTGGAGGTATTCTGACCTCAATAAGTGTAATATATTTCCATAACATGTAGAAAGGCACAATAGACAATGGTGCAGCTTGAATGTTACCCTCTCATGACATATATAGTTACAACTTACAACCATGTAGTATATAGTGGCATCATGTTATATGAAATAGGATAGACATTTAAACATAAACTATCATGCATGAAGTTGAATATAACATTTCCAATCAAAATTTCTAGATAAGGAGCAAACATGAATCTACTCTTTCTGGGGTTCAATGATCCTCAATCTTCTTCAAACCCTTCATGTCTGTTGTTTCAACACTGCATTGGAAAATTGACCTGTTAATACTTCATATAACAAAAATATGAAAAACAAACTCTTGAAATGTAGATAACACTTCAAACAAGAAATTTTGCATGAATGAACCTGTTCTATTCATTATTTTTCCATGCACTCCTCTTCCCCAGGGGAAAAAAAGATGGGATAAACCACAA